AAGCCCTTCCTAAGGAGAGGTCTAAGCTCTTATGAAAATTACCTTTCATGTCGGTTTTACCTGGACTTCTCAAATTCAGTTTGAGAAGTCCATCAGTGGCTATTAGCCACAAGCAGTGCTCCCTCTAAGGTCCCTAAGAGCCAGTTTGGTGTAGTGGTTAAGTGTGTGGACTCTAATTTGGGAGAACCGGGTTTGATTCCCCACTCCTCCACTTGCACCTGCTGATGTGATGTTGGGTCAGCCACAAGCTCTGGCACAGCTGTCCTTGAAAAAGAGCAGTTTGTGTCAGAGTTCTCTCAGCCCCACCCACCTCACAGGGTGTCTGTTGTGGGGAGGGGAAGGGAAAGGAGTTTGTAAGCCGCTCTGAGACTCCAAGTGAAGGGCAGGGTATAAATCCAATCTCTTCTCTTCTCAAAGTCCTGTGAGCAAAAAATCTACTTTCTAAGCTACCTGCATTAAAGTTGTGAGCAAACGGTTCGGCTATTGCAGAAATTAGTTTGCTCTGGAGCCATCCTTCCCATGCTAAAACAAAAATCTGTGAGCTGGAGGCTAAAAACCTGTGAGCTAGCTCACACTAACTCAGCTTAGAGGGAACACTGGGCACAAGGTATAGATAGGGACTCCGGGGCAAGTGATGCTCTGTCTTCTTGGTGCTTGTGGGGGGCCAATAGTGTGAGGGCTCCTAGTGTCCTGGCCCCACTGCTGGACCTCCTGATGGCACCTGGTATTTTTGGCCACTGTGTGACAGAGTGTTGGACTGGATGGACCATTGGCCTGATCCAACATTGGCTTCTCTTATGTTCTTATGTTAGTTGCAGGTGCAATGCTTTGAGCACATGTGGATGACCCATACAAGCAACCAGTCATCCAGGTACTAGTAAATCTCATGTTTCAGCCTGCATATATAGGCCACAACAATGGTTTCCATTTTGTTAGCCTGAATGGCAGAACTGTGTGTTGCAGATGCAGATCATTGCAGGGGAGGCAGGGACATTTTTAGCATTTTCACCTTATTTCAACATGGAAATAAGGATCTAGCAAGTCCAGGGACACAACTAAGATGTGGATGCAACAGGGGTAGGGCTTTGGTGACAGACACCATTCTGAACCATTTATTGACAGGAATTCATTTTCTCAGATTCCCCCCCCCCTCCACTTTTGCTTAGCAGAAAGTTTCTGGAATACAAACTTTGGTGCTGCTCTTTCATATGTAACTTTGAGATAGATGTTTTGCTGAGGAGAACCTTGACCCACGCCAGATACCTAGGTCTCTCCAATAGGAACTGTGCAAAAAATTGCATAGCCCTACCTGAGCGAGCAGAGGCGTGACCTAACCAGTCCGGATGACTCCCCCCCCCCCACTGAAGGAGAAAGAGTTGCTGTGATCACATATCCCTTGGAGACCATAGTAAGGACCCATTAGTCTTGACAAACGTATTAGCAAGTTAAGCAGGAAAGAAATCCCTCCCCTGTATGTAATTGTTCCAAGCAGGGGCTATAACTGTCAGAAACCCTGCTTATTGGAATGGGATAGTTCTGGAGACTGAAATCTAGATTTTGCCCTATAAGAAGGAAACTTTCTTCTATGCTGTGCAGGTGGTTAAGCACAGGGCGGATATAAAGGCTTGTAGGTGGTTGCAAAATATGTTTGTTGACGTCTGCCTCTACAAGTATAGTGATAGGGCCTATAACAGGACCTGAATCTTCGTGGGGGAGGTAGATGAGGTGCTATATCTGGGGCTTAAACCATGAATTTGTAATTCCTCATCATCTTCAGTACTTTGTCAGTTTTTCATCTGTACACTGAAAAGAGAGACTGTCAATCCTGGCACAAGTTTGATTTAGCAGAGCAGTTCAAGGAATAGTGGCGAAAGGAAAATGCTGTGGTAAGACTGCGAGCTGCACAATCAGTTACATGCTTCACTGAGGAGACTTGATGCTTAGAGAGCTTTGAAACCTCTGACACCAAGTGTTTAGTCAATTTATGCTAGTCCTCCAGCAAAATTTCAGGTAAATCTCTGGGGGGGGGGGGCGGGGGGGAGGCATGCCAACCCATAACAGTTGATAATGGGCCATTATAGATTGTTGTCTACTTTAAAGCTTAAGACAGAGGAAATGTATATTTTCTTACCTACTCCATAAAGTCTGTGGTCTTCTCTGTCAATGGGGCCCAATAATTAGTGTTCTTGTTCTTGCCCTGGACAGAGTCCACCACTGACAAATTTGTTGTAGTGTGTTGAAAGAGCAAGGGGCATCCTTTCTGCTTTGTTCTATATATTGATTCTCTATTCTGCAGGCAGAAGGTGAAACCAAGGTAGGTGTTAGCCAAGGTGCTATTGTGACCTCTAGAAAACCATTCATTATTGGAGAGATGGCCCAGGAGATCCTGAGTGCATGATTTTAAGCATTGGATTCATTGCCCTTAGGGGAACACAGCAGACATGAATCCTTAGACCCTGCACCATACAAAGGAGAATATGAGATGCTGGCTGTATTGGATCCAAGCAGAGCTTATGGATCCCAGTCCTGGATGATAATGGTTGTAACTTAATAACAGAGAGCACAATGGGGACATATGACAATCAATACTCCCTCTAAGCTGCGGAGTCTTGTGAGCAAAAATTCTACTTTGTGAGCTACTGGCATTAAAGTTGTGAGCGAGTGATTTGGCTACTGCATAAATTAGTTTGCTCCAGAGCCATCCTTCCTGAGCTAAGACAAAAATGTGTGAGCCAGAAGCTAAAAAACTGTGAGCTAGCTCACACTAACTCATCTTAAAGGGAACACTGTTGACAATATATCGTCAGATCCAACTGAAGGGACGGAAACAAGTGGCAGGCAGATGACTGACAACAAGTAGTTGGTGGCATGGGATCAATGAGCTCACCTTCCCATCTTAAACATGGCAACATAGGAGAATGGCCTGACAGAATCAGCTACACTTTGAGGACTCACTCTGGAATCAAATCACAATTATTGAAGAACTTAAGAGCCCAGAGCAACTTGGGTGACTTTTCTGAATGTCTATGCTTGTGCTGAGCCTTTTAAGGTAGTGGCTCTGAGGCGTTGCGGGCTTTTCCACATTCTCATTTTCTCGCATGTAAGTTCCTGTTTCTTTGGTTTTTTCTAATGTTCTGCACGTTTTGCTCCCTCTAGTGTCAATTCAATATTACACTGGTTTATTTCTGGCATACAACCTGCAGTTTAAGTCTGCAGGGAGATATGACAGCCATAAACTGGTGTAATATAGAATCGATCGCTAGAGGGAGCAAAAGACATGTGGAATAGACCCCCCGCCCAAAAACAGGAACTTACAAGTGAAGAAAATAAGAATGCGGAAAATGCTGGAGTGGGAGGCGAGACAATAGTTGGACCTATGGTTGGAAGTTGAACCAAACAACTCCAATTTGGTGCTGCAACCAAGGACTCTCAGTTCCTTCACTCTGGATTGTGAAACAGCACTGTGGTTGGGCAATTTTTCAGAGCTATGCCAGGGATTCTCCTACAAATCTACCTTTAAACATTAGTTTCAATCCTGCCTTGCTTTTGGTGTAAATTGCCTATATACAGAGCACTAGGAAATGACGTGTTCCTTGCCCAGGCATAGTAGACAGAGAGTGATCACCGGTGTGAAGAATTTGTTCATCCCACAGGATTTTGCTGCTGCTTCTCCTTCTTTTTGAGGCCTGGATCTGTAATATAAATCCTCCAAGATTTTTCTTCAAGTATTGACCAATCTGGTATGAGGAATTTTGCTTCACTGGTTGCACACTTCTCAAGAGCGTCTTGGGCCATATTTTAAAGGCCTAACCTTGTAATATAAATCTTCCACAGTTTTTCTTCAAATATTAACCAGATCCAGTCTTCTAAAGTTCTTTTTTTTAGTTATTTTCCTCACTGGGAAGGTCTTCAACCAAAGATGTTCATGAAAGGGAACCTCTCAGTGGCAACAGAGAGAGAACTGAGGGAAGGACACTTTCTCCCCTCCTAATCATGCTGGGAAAAGTCTGGAAAGCTGTGTGTGAGGGAGAGCACCCTTTGGTGTTGTTGAGCTTAAAAACCTCTCCACAGTAGACCTGCACATGCCCAGAGCCCATGTGGGATGGCACAGATAACAGTGATGACAGTCCACACAATACATACAGTATAGCCAGTACCTCTGCCTCCATCTACCATCCCTGCTGATAGCACTGATAATGATGTATCTAGTTTTTTCATCCTACTCTTCCTCTAAGGAATGCAAGGCAATGTACGTGGTTGTCCCTTAACAATCACCAGCGAGCTTTATGGCAGTGTGACCATTCGAACTTGGGTCCTACTCCAACACTAACCACTACAGGACTCTGGCTCTCAAATAACACCAAAACAGATTAAAGGAATCAAGGACTGCCTCCATTTGCCATTCCTTATATGACAATGTGAACAATTGGTTTCCATGAGAGAGGCAGCAATCAGTGCACACAGAAAGAAATTTTCCAGCCTCCCCCCCCCCTTGCTCCACCTCCCTCCAAATCCTGCCCTCCACAGGTGAGTGGAACTATATGGTGAGGGGTGGCTGCTGTGGGAAAGGGGAACTGATAAAACAACAATTCTCTTTCTGGTGGTAGATGTGCCTTCCATAAGTGAATAATGTAGTTAGGATTCAATCCAAAATATATGCAATGCTGGGAGGTCTACCTGGCTACCCTTACACTGGGTCAATAGCACCTTCTCAGTCCCTCAGAAAAGTAGTTCCAGTTGATTTCTACTTTAAAGCCTTTGTTCTAAATGATTTCCTCCTTTTTCAACAAATCTGTTTTAGGGACTGAGCAATAAATACAGATTGTATCTTAAATATCAAGTTACTAGATGAGAAAGTAAAGCTCTACAATTGTAGGGTTCGACAACTGTAGAATCTTACATTATTAAAGCTTTTGTTGTAGAAAGGCAGACATTATGTTGAAGGATTTTATTCATGGTTTGTTGATGAATACAATAGATGTGACAAGGCACAACTGTGGATTACAGCTATAGAACCAAATGGAAAATGTGCTTCTTTGAAAATAAGCTATTTAAATGTATAACATCTAACATAATGTTGTGACTGTTACATTCCTTCTTTTTATAAAATTTCTGTTACACCATGATCAAAATCCTAAAGTGTTTATTTTATAGAGATCTATCTTTAATTTTGCTCCCAGGCCTTTCTAAGCTTTACATTTTGGTCTGGAAAAGATTTTCTTCTGCAGGTTTTTGAAGTGAAAAAATTATGTGCAACTCTGAAAGATCATTGAATTGTACAGGATAGAGGTGAACCAGATAAAAATGCACTCGATATAGAAATGCTGACACATGAAAGTAGTGGGGGAGGATAGGAGCATCTGAACACTGATTTAGTAGAAGTATTTTGTGCATTCTGGAAGACAACACTGCCAATTCAAGTTGCATCACCGAAACGTTAGTGTGTTTTGATAATTAGCGCAATGGCATTGCATGCTGAACCACAAAGGCAACCCAGCCTGGAAAGTTCAAAACACTCACTTCTTTCCATCTCAAGCATCTACTGCTCTGAAGTTGCATCAAAATTTACTGTAGCAATGTTTAATAATTGGTGTGTGCTTGAAATAAAACATAAATTACCTTAGTCATGTGCTCAGCATTTTCCTAAAAACAATAGTGTTCCCATCTCATGAACAGGGCATATGACCTCTTTCTAATCCTCCAGCCTGGGCTGTGAGAATACCTGTCAGAGTTCAAAAATCTAAGTGGGCTAGTGTGGCATGATTAATATGAAAATAGGACTTTCATCACAGCTGTGCAATAAACAAATATGTTGAAAACATTGAAAAAAACAGATAATAAAAATGGGTGGAGGTTTAGTGAGAAAGTATTTAACTTCTATTACTAGAGGAAAAAACAGACTATGAAACCATATAATGCAAGTGCCCAGTTACTGCATTCTCGGAATTGTAGATTACAGATTTGGTAGATGTAAGACATCTTATTTTACTTGAATGGGGATACTCCCCCAAGACCTTGTCCTGAAAACAAAACCACTGGTCTTGCATTACGATTGTGAACTTTAGAAGGCATGAAAAACAGAACAGAATATACTGCTACAGAGTCAAACAGATTTATATTGTACATTACTTCAAATAGCTCTTCACTGGAATTTGCCCTCTTGTATTTCCAAATCAGAGTTCATAAGATGATAGAAGGCTACAGTACATGGGAAGAACACATTTCTAATCAGAAAATGCAAAGAGTTGTGAAGAAGAGGCCATTTCACTGCTCCATTCCAGGCTGCACTGCAGCCACGTCCTTTTGTTCTGATGCAGAAGGAATGTTCACATTGATGGAACAAACTGAGAAGGATTTGGAGATGTACCAGTAGCAATGCTTAGGAGAAAGGAGGGTAAAATAAACTCTATTCCTTAATTATCAGGATATCAAGGAAGGGACTTGATCCATCAGTGAAGAAATCGAATGCTCATTTTTTGCTCTACATCCACCTTCTCCAAAACCTGCAGAAAAGCAAAACTGTTACAATTTGGTATAAGATTCTCATTCTCTCTCAGTATTAAGAAGGTGGATTTTTTATTCCTGTGCTAGTCATCTTTCATACTAGATACATTTTCTTGTCCTCCAAAATTCATTTTTTTAAAATCAACCTAGTGGATATCAACTAATAAAATTTGCACTTGTGAACACTTGAGAAACAATTTGCATGTCAGGAACATTGCCGCCTTGTGAAATGTTAAATTCTGTTTCTCTTCGATGTCTAATGTGGGCATTCAAGAACAGAAAAGAAATTAGCTAGAATAATTTAAGCTACCACAAAACATTGTTTGCTTTTGTCAGAACAAAGGCCCCATTTCTGTTCATTTTTATCCAGACAAGGAAAACTACTGACAAGATGAAACTGTGAGTATAATGAAGGAGCAATATAGTTTCAGGCCTACTGATCTCCTTGCAAATCTGATCAGAAAATACTAGCACTACAGTAACCAGGACTGCCATAACGGAAGTGGTTTCCTTACCTTAACGAACTCTGTAAAAGAGATAGCACTATCACCATCTTGATCAGCCTCCTGAATAGTTCTGTCAGCAATGCTACCCAGCTGTTCATCAGAGATGTTTACACCAACCATCATCCGCAATACCTGCAAGTTAGGAAGTTAGTTTTTACTTATATTCAAGTAAAAGTAATGTATCAAATTAACATAAATGCCAGTCAACCAAAGCAGTTTTTCCAAGTGACACACTGAAAGATCCTTCCAAAAGGTTTTTCCATGCCCAAGAGTTTTTCAGGAAAAGAGAAAATAGTGCAGATTTTCTGCCCCTCAACAAGCGGTCCATATCCACTATCATGGCTAATAGCATTAGTTCTATTCTCCATCTAAGCCTGTGGCCATCATCCCATCTTGTGGCAGTGAGTTCCACAAGTCAACTATCCATTGTACAAACTATCTTGAATCTACTGTCATTTTCATACTGCGACCCTAAGCACTAGTATTAAGGAGCAGATCCTAAACAACTCAAGGTTTCAAAGGTTAATGCCAGTCCAGAGTTAGGCCTGAAAATAGAATTGTAGCCAATGGAATTTGGAATGTTTGTATTATGTGTTCTACATGGTAAATTTTAGTTAGAATTTTATTTTAAACAGTAAAAAACAATCAAAACATATAAGAATGAAGAACTCTTACAGCTGTTTTGGACTAATTGGAGTTTTCAGGCATTTTTCAAAGGCAGTCTCATATACATGTTAGAGAAATCCAATCTGGATACAGTTACCAAGGCACACATGACTGTGGCCAGGTCACTCCTACTACTGCCATCTCATTCTTAAATTTCAATATAGAGACTTGATATAGTCCAAGACTATGACCCTCATCCTTCAGGAAGAATCCAGACCAAAATAGGTTGTAAGCCTATTACAGGCTTTGGACTGGGCTGCATTCCCCCTGAAGGTTGAGGGGTTACTTCCTACCAACAGTACTTTCATCTTATCTGGATTGTTGGTTTGCCTGCATCCAGCGTTTCCCCATCACAAACACAGAACTGGTGTCCACTGGCAATAGGCTGTCATCAGCATACTGATAACTCCCAATCTCTAAATTAGTTCTCCCAGCTGTAGATAATTAATTCTGAGGTATCACAAAGGCTAAGAGGCAGAGAAATAGCCTACCAATACTTTCAGGAACTTATCAGGAATGACTGACGCTACTGGAAAATATTGTCTTCTCAAATCCCATCCTAGCAGCATCCTCCAGAGGGATACGATGGCTGATGTCAAAAGCTACTGCAGTCCAGCAGAACTGACAGGGACACTCTTCCTGCCAGATGTCCATTAAGGTTAATCAGCAAGAAGTTAATTCTCCCCACAACCAGGTGAGAAGCCAGACTGAAGAGGGCTCAGATAGTCCCTCTTAAACAGAAAAAAATGTGGAGTTGAGAAGCTATCGACCTTTTGAGCACTTTGCCCAAGAAAAGAAAATTTGACACAGGGCAAAAGTTGTTCAGATGTAAGGGGTCCAAGAATGGGTTTAAACAGAGCTCTTATTACTGCTTCCTTCAGTGTCCTAGGAGTGTATCTGGTGAAGTGAATTCTGACTCATAAACATTTATGCTGGAATAAACTTTGTTAGTCTTCAAGGAGCCACTGAATCCTGTTTTATTTTGCTGCTACAAACTACAATGTTACTAATTTGAAACTGGGAATGCACTATCTGCCCCACCCATACAGGTAAAACTTCCTCGGCAGCCAAAAGGAGTAAAGTCAAGAAAACAATGCGGCTCCAGATGGCTCTGTGGGATCCAATGTCCCCTGGTTGCTCATTAGATGACCTTGTCGAGGACTCACATAGCTGACTTTTGGCAGCCATTGATGAGATCGCTCCCCGACGCCCTCTGCACCCCCATTCTAAGCTTGCTCTATGGTACACACAGGAGCTGTGGCTGATGAAATGAGGACTCAGACGGCTAGAGAGACAGTGGCGGCGTGCTTGGGATGAAGCTACAAGAACATCCTATAGGACATTTATGAGATCCTATCAGATGGCAGTCAAAGTCGTCAAAAAAGAATATTACGCAGCCACGATTGCATCTGCGAGCTCTTGCCCAGCCCAATTATTTAGAATGATCTGGTCTATTACTACTCTGCCATAGGGCAGACCAAATGTTGAGGAATTGGAGATTGGTTGTGAGGCTTTTGCAAGCTATTTCACAGATAAAATCTTGTCACTTTCCCACGACCTCCCCGCAATACTTGAGACAATAAGGGAACTCGAGGCTTCATGTGCGTCTTCTTGTCAAGTTCTGGATTATTTCAGTCCATTCAGCCTAGAGGAGGTTGACAAATTACTCTCAACTGTTCGCCCAACCACTTGTAGTCTTAATCTGTGCCCATCGTGGCTAATTAAAGCTGGCTATGAGGTGCCCTAAAGGAGATTATCAACAAGTCCCTCTCTGAGGGACTGTTCCCTGGGGCACTAAAGGAGGCAGTGGTCTGCCCTCTCTTTAAAAAACCATCCTTAGATCCAGCCGAATTGGCTAACTATCGACCGGATTCCAATTTGCCTTATTTGGGCAAATTAATTGAGAGGGCAGTGGCAATTCAGTTGCAGGGTTTTTTGGATGACACCTCTGTGCTGGACCCCTTCCAGTCCAGCTTCCGACCAGGCCACGGGACAGAGACAGTACTGGTCGCCCTCACAGACGATCTCCGGAGGCATCTGGATCGGGGCGGTTCGGCGGTGTTGTTGTTGTTGTGAGACCTGTTGGCAGTGTTCGACATGGTTGACTACAAATTACTGACCACTGCCTCACCAACACCGGGATTCAGGGGTCTGCCTTGCAATGGCTCTCCTCATTCCTTCTGGGTCGGGGACAAAGGGTGGCCGTGGAGGAACAGCTGTCCCAAAGGCACCCTCTAGTCTGCAGAGTGCCCCAGGGAGTGGTGCTTTCCCCAATGTTATTTAACATCTATATGTGCCCCCTTGCCCAGATCCATGGGCTGGGTTGTCACCAATATGCAGACGATGCCCAGCTCTACCTGCTGTTTGACAGCCAGTCCAACTCTAGTCTGGAAGATCTGGACCTGGAGTTGAAAGCCGGGCCTGGTTGGCTTAGACTGAGTTGACTGAAATTGAATCTGACAAAGATGGAGATTCTGTGCCTGAGTCAGAGTGGTCCGAGGGTACAGATACCACTCCCGACCTTCAATGGGGCACTGCTGGTGCCAGCGCCGGAGGTTAGGAGCTTGGGAGTGCTCCTGGATGCCTCCTTAATGATGGAGGCACAGGTAGCAGCCACTGTGAAGTCAACCTTCTATCATCTTTGCCTGATCAGGCAGTTGGTTCTGTTCCTCGAACGCAATGACCCGGCAACAGTGATCCATGCAGTGGTCACCTTGAGATTGGATTACTGCAATGCTCTCTACATGGGGCTGACCTTGTCCCAAATCCGGAAGCTGAAGCGGGTGTAGAATGCAGCAGCTAGGCTGCTGTTGGGTCTCCCTATGCAGAAGCACATCCAGCCTGTGCTAAAAGCACTACACTGGCTGCCTATAGCATACCGAATTCGGTTCAAGGTGCTGGTTCTTATCTTTAAAGCCCTATATGGTCAGGGGCCTACATACCTAAAGGACCGCCTTTTCCCACATGTTCCCCAGAGAGCACTAAGATTAGGGTCCCAAATCATCTGGCCCTCCCAGGTCCTAGAGAAGCCAGGCTAGCTATGATGAGGGCCAAGGGCTTTTCAGTGGCAGCTCTGCACTGGTGGAATGATCTCCCGGATGACATCAGGGCCCTGTGGGACCTTTTACAGCTCCGCAGGGCCTGCAAGATGGAGTTCTTCCACCAGGCCTTCAAGTAGGGAGCTGCCCTGATAAACTAAGACCCTGGCCCTAAACTAACATCGTCATCAACATATCAAGGTCCGATGCTGCTAATGTCCGCCACCGCCTGTGAACAGCAGTAGCACTTAATGCTGTGTTTTAAAAGTATATTGTTGTGGTTTTATCTAACTTTCTGTTTTAGTGTTTAATATGTTTTATGTAAGCCACCCTGAGCCTGCCTTGGCAGGGAGGCCAGGATACAAATCTAATAAATAAATAAATAAGTGTAAGTTCTCTTAAGTGTCTTCAGGCTGCACTAACTAAAAGGTGTGCAAATAAATCCATACTTTTGTAACCTCACAGATTACTGCAGCATGCTGTATGTTGGGCTGCCCTTGAAGACAATCTGGAAATTGCAGCTGGTCTAGAATACAGCAGCTCGATTAGTATCAGGGGCTAGCTGATGGGAACATATGCTGCCCATTTTTGAACAGCTACATTAGCTGACAGTTTATTTCAGAGTTCACATCCAAATAATGTTTGCGGCCCATCACAGCTTGAGGTGTGCATATCTGAAAGACCATCCTCCTCCCATGTGTTCCTGTAAACCGACTGTAGTCTTCAGGTTTAAATAAATAAAGATGAAGCAGATGATGAACCCACAATCACCCCTACCTCAGGCCTCATTCAGAAGGCATTTTTATTATTTGTTATTTATTTATTTATAAATAATTTGGATTTATAAATCATTCAGTCCCTGAGTACTAAGGGCTCTGAATGACGAACAACAACAATAAAATACATAGCATGTTAAAAACAATTGCAATAATTAATTAAAAGCAATTCACAGATGGCGTTGATACTTCCGATTTCGGACTGTGTTGTCGCCTTGCGAGAGGGGTAGGGAGGAAGCACAGCTGGAGAAGGGGAAAACGGGAGACGGGAGGAGGGAGTGGCAGCCAAGATAGTACCCGTTGCTGTCCTCAACCAAAGGCCTGGTGGAACATCTCTGCCTTGCAAGCCCTGCAGAACTGCATCAGGTTCCGTAGGGCAGAGAGTTCCACCAGGCAGGGGCCAGGGCTGAAAAGGCCTTGGTCCAGGACAGCCTTTTGGACCAGGGATCGCCAATAAGTTGTTCTCAGCTGAGTGTAGCACTCTTTGGGGGACATACCAGAGGAGGCAGTCCTGGAGGTATGTTGGTCCCAAACCACCCAAGGCCTTAAAGGTCAATACTAAAACCTTGAACCTGACGCAGTATTCCAGTGGAAGCCAGTGCAACTGACGCAACACAGGTTGAATGTGTGCTGTCTGTGATGTTCCAGTCAGGACTCTCGCTGCTGCATTCTGGATCAGTCCCAAGGGCAGGTCAGCGTAGAACAAATTACAGTAATCCAGTCTGGAGGTGACCACTGCATGGATTTTGTTTGTCAAGTCCCAATAACAGTAATTGGTCCTCCTCCTTGGTTCTGGTGTTGTATGTGTTTTTATAGAATTATTTTGTAATTTAGAATGCCGTTTTTAATAGTTCAAATGTTTTCATGCTGGATTACAGAAACCCTGATCACATGGAAAGTGACATAAAAATGTTTTAAATAAGAACTGGTTCTCCAGGCAACTTTTATTGTTTTCATTTATACTTGCAGTTTCAATTGCTGAGTCTAAATCAGATAGTATTAATACATTACAAACTAATCACAGTGATTATGGAGGGTGATTATACATCCCAGTACATAACAGGCTCTTTATCAGCAGAAATATCATTGGTTTGCATAGTGTAAACATGATGGCAGCAGAAAAGTTAAGATTTCCTTGCTGCCGTATTTAATGTAACATTCAAATGTACTCCCTTATGCTACATGTTTGGAGTCTTAACAAGCACATCGTAAACTTGCAGTGATATGAAACTGGCTTACAGGCTGTGTAAAATGAGCATACCTGAAGAAGCTCTTCCCGTGAAATCTTGTCGTCTTTATCCAGATCGTATAGCTGAAAAGCAACTACGGGAAATTAAAAAGATTCAAGGTTAGTCATATTTTCCCTCCCTTTGGAATGCATTGCTTAAGACTTGAGGGTGCAGAGCAATGAGTTGTTCAACAATACTTTCCCCCCATTCTACTGGCAGGTACAAAAGGGCCCAACTAGTTAAAGCTTGACCTTTCCTTTTCAGTACTTCAACTAGATTACCAACTGCAATTTCTTGAGTCCAGAAGAACCAGCAGCAGTTGTTACTAGGCATCCAACCATCATGCTTAGGCAGAGCCCTCACAAAGAAATGCTTCCCCATGTGTCTTTTGCTGTGTTTTATTGACCTATATTTTCAATTGCTATAAGATGCTTTGGGAGACCATTTTGAGCTGAGAAGTGGGGTTAAATAAAATGTAGCCCACAGAACACTTGAAGCACACAGTGAATAAGAAGTTACTTTAAAATAACAAAAAATAGTAAAGGATATATATAGGAATTTCTAGAACATGCATAGTAACACAGGTCAAGCTTAAACTAGTTGGGCCGTTTTGTACCTGACAGTCAGCCATTACCTTTAAAATGTTTATTAATTTTATATCTGTTGAATATCTAGATTAATCTAAGCAAACTGGAAGTATCACTGAAAGTTGATTAACCAACATAGCTAATTCTCAACATGAGCCCATCTGTGGAAACTTCAATCTCAATACCAGGACCTTCAACCAAACAGACAGCTCTTTCTACAGATATAAGAAAAGCCCAATGATTTGCAGAAAAATCTGAAATCTAAAAAACACGGGGGGGGGGGGTTAAACATCAACAGTGTCAGCCTTCAAGGCCTTCATTTCTATTATCAGTAAAAGACAGGGAGAAGGGGCAGTGCCCTTCTGAGGGGAGTTCTGGCCTCTGAGGGAAGACTCATTGGGGGCTGACTCACTGGCAACCACCAGGAGACCTACTACTGCACAACTTGCTTGACTCTCCCAGGCCTGGCTACTCACTGCTGTTCAAAAGCAGCCATCTCACTAAAGCCAGTGTGGTGCAGTGGTAGAGTTTCAGACTAAGATACGGTACCTCCCATTAATAGCTGAGCTGCAGCATTCTACACCGCAGCATTCTCTCATTCCCACCCCCCAACCAACCAATCAGTCCCCATCTTCAGCTATATCTGTTTACTTAATTTATATCCTACTTTTCTCCACAATGGGGAGTTTACATAATTCTCTTCTCCATTTTATCTTCACAACAACTCAGTGAGGTTGGTTAGGCTGAGCATATGTGTCTAGCCCAAGGTCACCTGGTGAGCTCATATGGGACAGGGCTTTTCTATGTAGGCAGTAGAGTTGCACTGTGCTAACTCATTCATAAAATTAGAAAAATTATTAGGGACTGTGGTCTATACTACTGTGTATAGATTGCTGAAACTATGATCCTATTATTGAATTTTACACCATTTAATATGTCATTTTAACACTTATTATGCTTTGCTTCAGTTCTAGACTTCTGGTTGGTTCTACAACCATAATCTATTGCATTGTTTACTGACTGTCCCATCTATTGATTGTATTGACTCACTCTGTGTAATCTGCCTTGAGTCCAAGTGAGAAAGGCGGACTATAAATAATGTAAATAAAAATCATGAGGATACTACCTAAAGGTAACATAATACAAAGCAGAGTTTTATGTTGACAAACAGTTTTTAAAAATCCAGTTTCACATTTGATTACAACTCTTCCATAATGTTTATAGCAAGCTCATTCTCCAGCCAGTACGATTTGAATGAGGAGGGGGATATACTAAAAGAGCAATCCTAAACAGGTTTACTCAGAATCCTACCAGGGTCTATTTAGTGGGACTTACTCCCAGGGGAGTGTTCTTAAGATTGCACTGTAAACTGCAGAATTGCCAAACAGAATACAAAGCGGCACAATTAATCTCAATGACTGTATAATTTAAAATTTCTTACAGTGCAACTTGTTGCTCCGGCTATTGAGTGGTTCTGGACCATTCTGGTCTTTGCTTTTCTCATTATCTTCAATGGGGCGGAAGTGGGCCAAAGTTCTCATGAATCCACGGAAGTTTACCTGGTCTTCTCTGCATAGAAGTTACGATACATAATTAAATATCAGAGTTCCTCTTGACTGCATGTTTCACACAAAATACTTTACCTACATTTGGGAAATGTAGTTGATGGGAATATTGTCCTTTCTTTCCCCTCCAGTTATTCCATACACATTCCATTCTGGTCTCCTTTTCTTACCTTTTAGCAGGTTGTTTTGGTGTTTAAACAAATGAGTGTTCAATGAGCATCTCAAAACATAACATAAATAAGGACTTCTCAACTGGGAAGTAGTCAGGATCTTAGTGGTCAACTAATAATTTACTAATTGTCAAAACACAATTTTTCTAAGGCAAGATAAAAACTGGGATGTTTTAAAACATTTTAATTTACTTATTTAAAATATTTATATATCCACCTTTGTCCCAGGCCTCCCAGAACCCAAGGCAGGTAACGACAATATAAAGCAGTCTAATAAAACAACAAATTAAAAACAAAAAGAACTTATGGCCCAACCAGTAAGGTTCCTTTCAATAAATGGGGTAAAAAATAAATCTAAACCTTTAGCATATAAGAAATGCTTAAAAACTTTCATAAAGATTTCCCAGTAAATAATAATTAGTTTGCATCTCTTCCAATATGGTTCCAGGCCTGGTTATTGGACTCAGTCAATCAATGATTTATTATGGGTTTGGACAAGCAGAATAAAATGTTCATTAACAGAGTTTATAAGAATATATATACAATCTTCCATATACATACAGTCTTCCATTAAAAAGCAAATACATGTTACTGAATGCTTTACCTTGGTATACTCTGGCTGCTGCACAGAATCTGGCAACTCTGTCTGAGGTCTGGGATTCAAGGTCTGCAAGGAGAAAGGAGGCATACCATTCCTCCGATCTTCCCAGGATTTTTTGGAGGCTGGGTTTAATAAATGTATATATCTAAGGTCATTAACAGAAGGAGCAGTGCAGCAGCACATGTCCAGATGTTTCAATTTCCTCAGTAGTTCAAGGGCATAAATACTCCTAAATTGGTACACCATGGTATCTCCCTTCTAATAAAGCAGATGGAAAAACATTGAGATGGGCCAGAGTGAGAGCTATCCAGTATTTGGAAATCAATAGATTAGCTAAATAGTTTGACAACAACATCTTGTTCCAGAAGAGATGGTATTCTGCAGCAAAACTGGAACTGAATGGAACTGAAACAGCCTTGGTCATCCTGGTGGATGAGCTGCATCGGGAGTTCTCCTAGAACTCTGAGGCTTGTGATACCATTGATTGTGATATCCTTTCTTCTGGACTACCTTTCAGGGCTGGAGTTTGGAGGCACCTTTTGCTGTGGATTAGGTCCTACCTGGAAGGCAGGTTTTGGGAGGTAGTGCTGAGGGACTGCATCTCAGCTCCTTGACTTCTGGGGTCCCACAAAATTCTGTCTTGTCCCTCCATGCTTTTCAAAATTGACATGAAACTACTGGGTGAGGTCATCTGGAGATTTGGGCTGGGTTGTTATCAATCTATGAATGACATTCAGCTCTACCTCACATTTCCAGCAGATCACAGGAGGTCTGAGGAAAATTTGAACTGATGCCTGGAGGTAGTTTTGGGATGGATGAGGGCCAATAAACTGAGCTGAATCCAAACAAGACAAACATGTTACTAGACAGATGGCAACCTAAGAAATGGCCTTCTTGGTTAACCTCCGTTAAAAGAGGGTAATGATTACTTGATGCTCTGAGTGAGTTAAAAAGGTAAAGGTAAAGGTTCCCTTGCTCGAAAGCCAGTTGAATCCGACTTTAGGGTTGCGATGCTCATCTCCGTTTCAAAGCCAAAGAGCCAGCGCTGTCCGAAGACGTTTCCGTGGTCATGTGGCCAGCATGACTAAACACCAAGGCGCACGGAACGCTGTTACCTTCCCACCGAAGTGGTACCTATTTATCTACTTGCAATTTCTTGCTTTCAAACTGATAGGTTGGCAGGAACTGGAACCAGAGACGGGAGCTCACTCCGTCATGCGGCACACTCGGGTCTCGAACTGCTGAACTACTGACCTTCCACAGCCTTCAGTTCAGCGTCTTAACCACTTGAGCCACCGCAGCTCCACCTGAGTTACCTTGACACTTAACAGCAGCTTAGGTACCATGAATATCATTGCAATTCTACCTTTACCATAGTTATTTCTGAATACTGCAAAGGAGGTCTCAGCTACTTTCCATCAACATACAATCAAAGCCCAACATGCAAACTATAGGATTGTCAGCTCCAAGATGGAAAATTTCTGGAAATTTATGAGTGGAGCCTGGAGAGGGATTTCAGCAAGCTATAGGCCTCCCTCCAAAGAAACCATTTTCCCCTGGGAACTGATCTCTGTCATCTGGAGAGCAGTTGTAATTCCAGATGATCTCCAGGCCCCACCTGGAGATTTGCAACCCTCATACCCTATGTGAAAAATGTAATTTAAAAAATGTAATTTAAAATACACTTAATAAAAACTCACCCTTCCGGAAAGAAGGCATTGATAATCCGATCCCCTAGTGGGTTGATGGCAAGCTCTGGAATGCGCTGAAAATCCTCACGGCTACAGTTTCAAAAAAGAAAAAATCCACATCAGTTATTTAGCCCAACATTAATATTAAACTTTTATGCTGTGAATCAACTAATTGCTGTTCAGGCCTCACATAATAGCTATGACCATCTTATTAAAGGCTCCCAAGGTAAAAGAAATCATCACACTAATAAGTGGACTCCAGCGGAAATATAGGAAAAATAGCAAAGAGATTTGTGATACCATGAATGCTAACAAAACAGTGACAAAATTTTGTGGACTGTTATTGTATCTTGTAGGTAGAGACAGACCCTCCCATTAAGTACAAAGAAGGAGGGGGAAGAAAGCCCCCAAAATGCAGCAATTGCTATATACAACGCAAATGAAACCAAAATTTAGTCAAAGAGTAATAAATCCCAAAAAGGTAAGTATATCTGTCAATTGTAGTAATACCACACAAGTCATGTTGTGTCTTAAATATTAACACATTTTTATTGAGACAAACTCTTGTGGACTAGAACCCATTTCAAATTCATGGGTAAATCCTCAGTTGGCGCACATATATACAAACACACTAGAGATGCCAGTCCCCAGGTGTGGGCGGGGGATCCCTTGATTTGCCCGCCACTGGCCAGCTGGCTAGCAGGGGAAGCCCCACCCCTAAGCCCCACCCCCAACAGTGACCACTGGCAGCCACCCCCTTCCTCCCCTCCTGCAAGATTTAAAGGGTCCTCCAGCTGACCAGTTGGAGCACGTGGCCCACCATCCAGCTTGAAGGCCCTTTAAATCTTGCAGGAGGGAAGGGAGAGGTCCCCCCGATTCTTGCCCAAAGCATTTAAAGGGACCCTTTAAATAATTGTTGGGGAAAAAGGGGGGGGGGGGGGGGGACTCCAAGCAGGGACTAGGAAGGACCTGGCAACACAGACTTATGGAGGAAAAAATGTAAACAGCAAGGTCAAAAGGCTATGAAACAAAGCAGTACAGTATAACATAAGTTTTAAGCATTATCACGGTAAGTACAGAGACCATTAAAAATCAGAAAAACTGATGAAGAAATCTCCATATTTCTGCTAAGCTGATTAGTACTTGCAATGGTAGAAAAATGCCAGATCTTTGCTTAAGCCTTGATGAGTTCTTATTTAGTATTTTATACTGTGCTTCCTTCAAAAGGAAGACTCCAGGGTAAAATGGCTTAATTGAGCCCACATGAACATGAGTGCATATACTACACTGGGGGAAGAAGAGACAGATGACCCCAGTGGTATGGCTCATGTTATTAGGTCTTGTAATTGTGTTATGTTGACTGGACAACTATGGGGACAGAGCAGGCACCTGGGTTTGTTGCAAGGCTTACATCCCTGTTAGCTGACCTCCATTTGTTGCTTAGCTGGTTTTTAGATTAGGTGACTGTCTATAAGCAAGACTAACAGTAATTTAAGAAAATGGATGAACTAATATGAATCATATATGACTTAACATCACATAAGGCTCCCAATATTTCACAAATGTACATCAATGTTCAATATGTGAAATACATGAGCTGCAATAAATAGGCTGGAGATTTAAAGCAATATCTAACATTTACTATTTGACACTCCCAAAAGAAATATTTCACAGATTCTCAGTTCACAATTTAAATGGACTGCAAAATATAATCTTCAAATAGACCAGTATGCTGATGACACACAGTTCTACCTCCTACTCTATAAGCAATGAGAAGCAGGTATCTTCTCCCTGGTGCAGTGCCTGGATGCCGTGGTGGAATGGCTAAGGAGTACCTGGCAGAAGCTAAACCTGTGAAAACTGGTTATGTGACTGGGAAGTACTCTGGCTATGAGGAATTTGTCACTTCCATCACTCAATGGAACCCAGCTTTCCACTGTGGATTCCATGAAGAGTCTGGGGGTTTGGCTCGATCCTCTGCTTTCCATGGATAAACAACTGTCTGTGGTGGCTAAAATGGCATTTTCCCATCTTCACTGGACCTGAAAACTTTCCCCATCTATTGCAGTCTGACTTTGTCACACTGATCCATGCAATAGTCACCTTTTGTTCAGACTACTGCAACTTGCTCTATGTAGGGCAACCCTTGAAGTTGCTTTGGAAACTCCAGGTAGTACAGACTGCAACTGCTCCACTGCTGATCAAGTCATCATGGTCAGCCCATGTAACACCAATCTGAAAGCAGCTGCACTGTCTACCAATTAATTTTCGGGCTCAATTCAAGGTATTGGTCCTTACCTTTAAAGTCCTTAATGGTCTGGGATCCTCATAACTGGGACTGTGTCTCCTGTTATGATCCCCTCGCCCTTTGTTCATCTTTGTGGGACTTTGCTAAGGGTCCCTGGACCCACAGTAACACAACTTTCTTCCACTGGGGAAGGGCCTTCATGATTGTGGCACTCTCCCTCTGGAATGCACTGTCAGAAGACACCCTGATGTTTCAGAGACTCTGTAAGGCAGAATTATTCCAGCATGCTTTTGGCTCATAATATCTCTCTATGTAAGGCATAGTTGGCTTGTGTGGTGTAGTGGTTACTGAGAGACAGTTCAGTGTAGTGGTGTAGTGGTTAGGGGCATGGACTCTAATCTGGGAGAGCCAGGTTTGATTCCCATCAATGCGCCCTCTAAGCTGTGGAGTGTTGTGAGCAAAAGTTCTACTTTGTGAGCTATTGGCATTAAAGCTGTGAGTGAGCGATTTGGCTATTGCATAAATTAGTTTGTTCTGGAGCCATCCTTCCTGAGCTAAGACAAAAATGTGTGAGCTAGAGGCTAAAAAACTGTGAGCTAACTCACACTAACTCAGCTTAGAGGGAACACCGTTCCCCACTCCTCCACATGCAGCTGCTGGTGTGACTTTGGGTCAGTTACAAGTTCTTTTAGCACTGTTCTCTCACAAGCCATTTTCAAGAGAGCATTCTCAGCTCCACCTACCTCACAGGGTGTCTGTTGTGGGGAGGGGAAGGGTGATGGAGAAGGGAAAAGAGACTGTAAGCCTTCGGGTAGTGAAGGGTGGGGTATAAATCCAATCTCTTCTTCTTGTTGTGGGTATTGTAATATTTAATGCCATTTGTAGGGTTCCTATGGTTTCAGGGTTGGAATTAGATTGGTATTATTTATTGGACTATACAGGATTTAATTAGATATTTACCATGCTATTTTTGCACCTATTTTAATTGTAATCTTAAATTGCTGTAAACTGCTTTGAGCTCTTAACCTAAGAGATGCAGTATAAAAATTCAAATAAATAAATAGAAATAGGCCAGCACTTGATGTGAGATGCTATGTATGCTTGTTGGTTTGACTTGTTTATTTATTTGTACAATATGGTTACACACTGGGACGAAAGCCATCTATGGTATCCATTTTCAGTTACAGAATCAGTCCAGAAGGCAAGAGTGGGTGATTAGTGAAAACAAGCACTTCTTACAATAGATGTCTATGTTGGAATCCAAGTATTGCTGAAGTTTTTCCATTAACACTCCAGCTCTGTTTGTAAAGATTCAGCTTCTGAAGTTTAAATGTAAGACATAGGTGAGACATTTCTATGTTTTATGGCTGGTCTTGGTTAAAAATTAACCACATGTAACTATGCCTTTTAAGACTATTTCTGTTGTATTGTTACTAGCATTTAAATATGCCATTTCGCTCATGAAAGGGACATTATCTGCTAAGTATGCCAAATGGAAAATCTGCACAAGTCATAAAAGTAAATGACTACTGAGAAGCAAGGTGTACTTGTTTTATGTACACAACTCTCAATTTAAAACCTACTTCACCTGGCTTAGGCTAGAACATACAGGAAATGATTACTTTGTGTTTGTTCACATTTCAGAACAGAGACTCTCCAACAGGATCTCCCCAGGAACCAATGCATTTTACCAGCATGTTACTAAACAAGATGGAGAAGCATTCATTTTATATTCAATAAGCCACTCCAAACAATGTATTTGAGGTCTAACTTATTTTCACAGTGGGGCACACATTCAGCAACAGACATTTTCTCAATACAGGGGACTCTAGCATCAGTGACCCCTCTTATGTTTGTCATTATATTTGAATAACTGTCACATCAATAATCTTCATATCTTTTTTCCATGTATACAGTGCTGCTTTCTTAAACACATACACACAACTGAGCAAAAAATTATAGCAATACACCTATGCCCCAAACTACTGTGATGCAGTGTGCTTCCTGATGTCTCTAGACATGGAAACCTCTTGCTGGGGTTGTGCATGGAGAAAACCTTCCTCTTTCTTTAGAAGCTGAAACCAAACAGAATCTGTTTTTCAAAACAAAGAGCGCAACAGGCATTACCTTGGTATCTGCAAGAGTTCCCATTTGGAATTTGCTGCCTCCACCATATAATATTTAGCTTACAACTTCCCAGTATTTTGTGGAGCCTCCCAACATGTTGTCATTGTTCCATTACTCTGGCAGCCATTTTGTGGTGGAACCTACTATCTTCTCCTAACATTCCAAAAGTGCCTGCAGACTCAACAAGGATAGAGACTAAGGTTGCCGCAGCAGGAGATAGGAAATTACCCTGCCCCTCAGACAGCCCTACATCCCTAAAGTGGTACTGGATGCAATGTGCAGGTCTGCTTTAAGGGGAAATTTGCAAAAATTGTAGAACGCAGAATGGTTTGTGCAGCACTAACAGATAACAAGATCTAATTCACTATTTCTGTTTTGTTTTTACATTTGTATTAAACTTGTCATGAAGTGAGATCTGGCCTCAGAAGCTTCCTAACCAAGTGGGCATTTGAACCTTTAATTTCCTCATCCAAATCTAGCATTGGCCACTACACTGACTGTTATTACTTTGGCACCCTCACACCTAGCATGAATTTTTATGAACTCTTCCCTGGCTTAAGCTGTTTTAAGTAGGGGGAAAAGGGAAGGCAACTGGAGCTAGCTATGTTTTGTGCATGTATTCCAGCCTTAGTACGCATTTTTAATAGGAAAGCCAATTTACCACAAAATTTGAAGGCAGTGAAACAAGAAATGGGGTTAACAATTCAGAACAGAGAAATGGAGGGCATGTCAAGAGGCCACTGCCAGCTTCCTACATCTCCAACTACCTTATCTTGACTCTCTGTTCAACAGCCCCCTTTTGAACTCTTTTTTTTTTTTTAATAGTGTCAGTCTTCTAATATTAACATAATTTATGGTTGATCCCCATCTTTACTCACATTAACCAATAACTGTATTGGTTAACTTCCTTGGTGGTTCAAGCTTTATTACCTGTAAGATTAGTTAACTCACTTGAATACCCTATACAAATACCAAGGCTGAAGGCAAAGTAGTTTTGCAAATACATCACCATAGTTCAAGGGCAACTTGTGCATTGGAGTATTTTGTCTCACAACTTCCTTCTCTCAGTTTCTTCACACCCAACCTCCACAACAGCAAATCAGTATTTAAAACCAACTGTTAAACTGTGTTTATGTTCTGGAGATCTGCTATGCACTATGAGCATGTTTTCCCCCTCCCCTCCCCTTTTTTCTGGTGAAAAAAGTAAACCTTGGGTTTAAATAAGCCCAAAGCTTACATACTTCAGCATGCAGAGGCTAGTTTTGCAGAGTGAAAGGAGGAGTGACATGATAATTAGAACACTGGAATCTTTAATTGGGCTGAACAGACTGGAGAAAATTGGATTTTCTGACAAGAAGAGGGAATTTCAGTTGCTCATCTCGTTCCTCTCGATAGCTTTCGACTTATTGTAGCTGTAGTGCCATTTGAAACTACTACTACTGTTCTTTCTACTGTTCCAGGGAGGATAAATACCCTTAATGCCACAGTTGCTTTTTAAAGTAAGTCTCCAACCAGATCTTCTGTTCCATACATCTCCAACACCCTTTAATCAGCGCTTTGTACTGCACCATGCCACTTGATCAGTTATCACTCATGTTTTGCAATGCAGGAAGATAATTGTTAGTGGTTTAGTTCTCTGTGTATCATCTTCCCATATATCTATTTGCTTTCAAACTTCACCCTGCCCTCAAGCTTGCTTTCCACTTATCTGAACCCACTCCCCATCTGCTTCCTGCAATAAGGTATGGGGGGAGAGACCATAACTCAGTGGCAGAGCACATTCTTTACATGCAGAATCTGCATACCAGGTTTAACCAACCCATCCCACTCCCTTGTCTCCAATTAAAGGATCTCACGCAGCAGCCCTGGGAAAGGTTTCTTTATCAGTATCTGTCATGGCTCAGGTGGGGTGTCACCTGACACTGCCACCATTCTGGATTTAGGATCCCTTGAGAAGGCTCAGAGCACCCTCCCAAGACCTTTTGACCTCCCTTTTGGCCGAATAATAGGCGTGAGGACCAGGCAGAGTGAACAATGAAATAGTTTATTTTATAGGAGGTCAAACAAACAAGGTGCAGAATAATAACAGTAAGTGGGTGAAAATAAAATAAATCAAATGCCCTAACGCGTCTAAATATATACTGTCCCTAGCTCACTATTCCAAGTGACACTAGACCACTTACCCTTCCCTCAGGATGAGGGTTTCTTCCCACAGCAGCCTTCCTTCTGACTCTGTCCTCTGGGAAAAAGAACAGCTTTTCCTGCTGCACCAGATCTTTTATTCCAAGCCCTCCTATTGGTCAATTTTGGCCCTAAAACCTCTCAGGGGCTTCTGGGAGTTGTAGGCCCAGCCTCACCTACTGCTAGCCAGGCTCCTTGGGCCTAGTAGGCCTCTGGTGGCACAGCCCAGATCATGACCGTATCTTTGGAGGGTTGCTGCTGGCCAAAGCAGACAGTAAAGGTAATGGTTCCCTTGCTTGAAAGCCAGTTGAATCCGACTCTAGGGTTGCGGTGCTCATCTCCGTTTCAAAGCCGAAGAGCCAGCGCTGTCCGAAGACATTTCCGTGGTCATGTGGCCAGCATGACTAAACACCAAGGTGCGCGGAACGCTGTTACCTTCCCACTGCAACTTCTACTTGCAATTTCTTCCTTTCGAACTGCTAGGTTGGCAGGAGCTGGAACTAGAGACAGGAGCTCACTCCGTCATGCGGCACACTCGGGTCTCGAACTGCTGAACTATCAACCTTCCACAGCCTGCAGTTCAGTGTCTTAACCACTTGAGCCACCGCAGCTCCTAAGCAGACAGTAGTGGGATACAAAACCAATGGGCTGACTGTATAAGACTTCACATGTGATTGTGTTTCTCCCCAAACTGAACCTTCCTTATGTGATTTGATGCAAAATTGTACCTTGGGCTACAGGATAATCTCAGGATTATTATAATCCCATTATTTGCCAGTTTATTTTATGATTCAGGCATCTTTTGTATGGTCAAATCTAACTTGTGACAACTTGAGTTAGGCCTGACATACCCACGACTATCTATTTTATAATTTCTCTTGGATTGTATTATTGGGAAATGTTTTAATATTCTATGCCAATAAAAGGTATTTGAATTTGAATTTTTGATAATCCCATTATTATTATAATTGCAAATTATACAACTCACATTTACAAGGACAGCTCACACAATCCCAGTTTCTTTTGATCTGCAGGAAGAGTTAACCAATCTTACTTTGTAAAGCAAGACTTCAAAATTCCATTTAGTAAACACAATAGCTGTGTGAGAGTACCTACCTAAGAGTGCCATTCTCTCCTTTGTCCAGGCTAGTAAACCGGCTGTACAGACGAGTAATCTGACTGTGAGAAACTGAGGAAAGAGAGAAAATAGAAACGTTTAATAACACTAACAGCTAATTAATTCATGCTAATGAATACATGAGTAGAAGTCACGCCATTGCAATTCAGTGGCCAGAACTTTTTTGTCAAGTTCTCACACATTTTAACAGCTAATGGAAGCAACTTCAAACATTACTCCTATAAGTAAAATGTTCCACTATTTACTCACTGGAGGTTAACATTGAAAGAGATACATATCTGTTCAAAAGGACAGCTCAATACAGATAGAGAATCTTAGAGAGAAGGACTGCCAGCTAGTAGCCAGATCTTGATCTTTAAAAGTTCTGAAGTGGCCAGAAAGATGCTGTTTTTCTGACTCCCATCATCTCCTGCTACAAGCCAAAATTAAAGCCTAGCTTGTTATAGTAGACAAGGGGCTAAAATTAGTCACAGCTGCCCCCAAATGTATAAGACATTAGGCAGAATATCTCCATTGCGCCTCCCTCACCCCCAACATAGGACCCAATATAGTCATTGCTACACTACATCTACTTGATGGCCCAAAGCAAGCCATGCTGCTAAAGAGCTGGTCCATCTGTGGCACTTTCCTCTGCACCCTTCTGCTCCTCAGTACTGGTGGAGACATCACCCCTTCTACCTTGAAAGCACTGTCTGGATGTTCTTTAGAACAGCCAAAAGCAGTGCTTCATAATTAAAATGACATCATACACCCAAGGGCAACTGGCCATTAGGGTCAAAAGGATTTCTACCAGTGGGCTGATGGCTAGTCCCTCCAAACTGGTGGGGAAAGCAGTGCCTAGTCAAGTGCCACAGAGTGGCACGAAGGTCAGCACCTGCCTGTGCAGTGGCAAGTCTGGCTGGCTGGTCAGTCTCTTTCTCCTTCCCTCCCTCCTTTTTTTTTTAAAGGGGGGGGAGGATGAAGGAGGCACTGCCCTTTTCCAGGGCTGCTTTTTCCTCCCAGTCAACCCCTGCATACTCCCTTGCTTTCCATTGACTACTTTGCCAGTGTGCATCACTCTGCTGATCATGTATTTAAGGCCAAATGAACATGGCAAAACTCAGCAGCATTCACAGTGTCTGCACTTGGTAATCCACGAATCTAGACAAATATCCATCCAAGCCAACGAACAAAGCTATGGCCAAGGACTAGTGAAAGAAAAATGGTAGGTCTCTAGGCAGTATCACTGAGATTCACTCATTCCACTCCACATTCCTGTCAAGCTCTCCACATGGAACTTTATTATGTTTCTGTTTGCAAATCTTTGTTTCCCCTGACTTCTTATAGATCTTTACTTCTCAAAAAACCATTCCATGTTAACTGCATGTAGACCTGGTATAGCAGGGGAAACACTCCAGTCTGCTGTTTTCATTAGTTGCAAATGGGTCAAATGATGGGAGACAGGAAAGGGAAAGCTGCTCCCCTTCCCTGCAAGTAGCTTGCACAGACTACTGCAGACTACTATTGAAAGGGGCATGGTGGAGTGAGAAAACCTGCTGTCAGGAAAGGCAGCAACATTCCTGTTCATGGTTATACATTTTGAAGTACATTGTGGGAAAAGATGTATTCTCAGTCATATAAATACACGCAGATACAGAAGGAAAAATTGTGAACAGGTTAAAAGGCAAAAAAATTCCAAGATATATTAATGAAAACCTGTACCTCTTCCATTTTATGCCCTTTAATCCTACCGTTCATAATTTTTCTCTGTATCCATATATGTGTGCATCCATAGAGATGTAAAATTTTGCAAAATTCTGAGGTGATGAGAGGGAAAGTGTTGGGGGGTTTTCCCCTGAAAAAACAGACATATTTCAGGGAAAACGAAAAAAATTAGCAGTACTAACTTTTCTATCAAACCTAAACCTATTTTGCTGCTTTAACAATAATCAGGATTATATAATGGTTTGAATGGTGGACCAGTATCTGAGAAACCCAGGTTCAAATGCCTATTCTGCCATGGAAGCTTGCTGGATGACCTTGGGCCAGTCATATACTCTCCGCCTAACGAACCTCACAGCATTGCTGTGAGGATGAAATATAGAAGTGGAGAATTTTGTAAGCTACTTTCAGTCCCACTAAGAAGAAAGGTGGGATATAAATTAACTAAATAAAATACATAATTTATAAAGCATACAACATTGTATTAATTGACATTCATGGAATTTAAGTATAAATGCATTAGGTTTCTACAACCAAAACTGTAAATATACCCAGTACTAAAGAGAAAAAGCTGCAGACTGCTGAGCCGTAGTAGTTGTCATCCATTCCAGAAAAGCATAGGTTTCATTGGAGTTTTTCCAATGCTCTGCAAAAATTTCTAATGCAAAGTATGGAAATCTTTAGACTTGTTCATACTATATATTTTGAATGAATAAAACCTTGTCTAAAAAGTATTTCACTCATTTCAATTTTTAAGATTTTTTTCCCAGCACTTGCCAAAAATTCCCAATTACCTGATTTGTCTGATGGAAAAATTGAATGCTATACAGTTTGATTTCAGTTTTAAAAAGCATTTTACTTATTCCAAAGAAAAAAATTATAGTAGTAAAACCTTGTCTTAAAAAGCATTTCATTTCATTCATTTCAAAGAAAAAGTATTTCATGAGTTTTTTTCAGCACTCCCCCACCCGAGGCCTTCACATCTCTATGTATATACACAAGCCCCCACATATATTTAAAACTGTACCCCACAAAACCCCTTTTGATGTTCACTGTATTACCCTAGTAGCTATCCTTTCTTTAACAAAAACAAACATAATATTGAGATACCGCATTAACAGAAAGCATCATCCTATTGAGATGGCAGTTGCTCTAGCTGTTCCCACATATTTTCTTAGAAAACCCCTAGCTCAGACACCTCAAATAAAGTACTGAAGATGACACAACCCGATACTGACCTGCAAATGCCAATGACTACCTCTTTTTCTCATTTCATGTCAATGTACTTCCTTTTTTAAATTTATTTTTTATTAGTTTTCCAACAGTTACAACAAAATTCAACATTTGGAAGAGTCAAAGCAATGAGATCAAAACTGCGATTAAGCAAAATAGCAAATGGCTCAAGTAGTACATCACACCAGTCTACCACTTAAACATATATGCCCTTTGAGACCTGGTAGGGTAACAGAGTTATCAGAAGAAGAGTAAATTCCTGAATACTGGGTTATTCGGGAGTGTCCCATTATTCTCTAAATAGCTAATGATAGGAAGCCATACTGCCTGGAACCACTTCCTAACTTTTCTCTGTGTGTTTTGTACATTTGTCTACCCATTTTCTGATTCCTTCTAACCTACATTTCTTTGAAATTAGAACAAAGTCCTAGCCTAGCTTTTATTTTAACTAAAGCCACTTGGCAGATAGATGATTTCAAAATTCTCTGGGGTAGGACAGCAATGATCATAGTAATCTGAACTTGCCCCACCAGTCTGTCTAAACTTCTTGAGTGAATACCATGCAGTCAATTTGCAGGTAATAAGGAAGCTTTGAAAAAGTATTTATATAGCCCTAATTCATGAGTTAGCCACATATCTTGGTTGCTAACTATTTCACATTTCTACAAAGAAACAAGGAAAGGTCTGGATGGAGAGAGAGGTAAAATTTCCCAAAAATGTTAAACCATGGAAAAAAACTTTTTCCCCCAAGGATTTTTTTTTTTAATTTGGGGAAAATGAAAATATATACAATATTTAATGTCTTATCAAACCGAAACTAATTTTATTACTTTAGCAAAATTTATAATTTAGCATATAAATTGCAATATTTGACATATGTATGGAACTGAAAAGTTAAAAGTGCCTTAGTAAGGCCTGTAGCCAGGAAATTTTAGGGGGGGGGCACTGGGGAAACTGGTGGGGTGTGATGTCACAAAATTAAAAATAGAAACATACAATAATAAAAGGGCTCACTGACTCATTCACCCAGCTGCTTTGAACTGCCACTCCTCTGGCACTAGATCCACACATAGCACCACTTCTCCTGTGCCAACGCCTCCCCACATTCTCCAACCTCACCTGAGTTTATGTGATTGGCTGCTCTACTTGCTCTCTGATTGGCCAACGTCAACTGAGAGAGAAAATAGCTGATCTGGAGGGAAAATAGGTTTTTTGCAATTTGGTCTTTCTGATATATGAATCACTAGCCAGAGGGTTTAGCTTCTCAGAGAAGACACATTTGGGAGTCAGTGTTTTCTGACAGGCAATAGTCAGAAAAATACTTCTACAGAGAGAAGAGAAACCCCGTTGTCTTAGATATATTAAAATTGCTCTGAGGGAGAATTGTAGATTCTCAGGATAGCTACAGAACAGCCTTGTGCAGACAAAGGATACTGGAGAAGGATTTGGCAGAAGGTCTGAGTAGTTAGCAAGAACTCCCAAACAAGCCAAATAGTCAAAGGAGCTATTGCTTCTTAGGGACAAGGAGAGTAACTTCCTGCCAGTGAAAGGGGTTGGGAAGAGAACCCTGGTATGTGATAAAAGGGAATAAGATTAGACACCTCAAGGGTTAATGAAAAGCTATAACATCTAAAGGAAAACCTAGAAATCTGAAGGAAGATTTCTTCCTTCAATAAGAACTGTATTAGTGCTGAAATATACTAAACAAAGTATATCTCAAAGAAAGAATTAAAAAGCCTTGAAACAAAACTACAAATACACTCTCTTGAATGTTCTAAGAATTCAACTCTGTATATATTAGAAAGTTTTTTACCTCAGCAATCTCAAACCCTTGACTATTTCTATTACACATATATTCCCGGCCTGTTTAATAAAATCTTTATTCTGTTTTTGAAAGTTAATTTGCCTCAAGTGCCATTTCTCAAGGGTTTAAAAAAACTGGATGGCTCCTGTATTTTCAGTAGAGGTCCTGAGCTGAGAAAAAGCCTAAACTAAATATCTAAAAACATAGGGTGGGACAGTCAAGTATTTTATGACAAAGAATATATACACGCTACTGTAGGGCAACTCAGTCACTGAAGGAAACTGAAGATTTGGCGGAAAAAAATCTGCCAGAC